AGCAAGAGTGACCGTTTGCTGTTGACCAATCAACGGACTGCAGTGTTCACAGCTCCACCTTTAAGTACCGGATCAGTGTGCTAGGTACACCAATAGAAGGGTGACCAAAAATGGGGACCGTTAGGAATGGTTCGATTTGTACCATCCACAACTTTTCACAGTGGACATGGAAAAAATGCGTACCAAACTGAACTGAACCATACGGACTGCTTGGTGGAAATGGGGCCATACAGTTACAAGACATTAAGTAGTTAGTTTTCTGGTGCTTGTAACTCATTCCACTGCATTCATCAGATTGGAGTTAGCAGTTTCTTTGCAGATTGAGGTTTAGATACAAAATAATATAGTTTATAAATGGAACACAAGACCAGACTAGCCCCACAAAGTCGACAAAATAAGCTCACTTAGACCAGAAAAAAAAAGTATTACAGGGGCTCTATGCAAAATTCAGATTGTATGAGTTGTCAGCGACAGTGCTGACACAGCTAATGGTGTTAGCCAGGGGGAAACTGGAGGGTGGGCGCTACACTTCTGCAATGACGTTGTCCCAGTACTGTATCAGCGGTAACTGCCGTATGAGCACAGTGTAAAGCGGCAGCGATGAGCTTGCCAGTGGGACACACACATGCACTCGCAGCCGGACCAGCTTACCACAACAAACCACAGAGAAGCTCACATTACAACACACAGAGGGAGTGTGACTTCATTCTCTGCTCAGGATGCCATTACTCCTCTATATCCTTACATAGCAAATAGTGATTTGCTGCTTTATACATGCTCTGAATGTCGCATAAAGAACTTTTAAAATGCTGATTACATGAATGCATCATATTTTGATAATTTAACATATATAGAAAACATAACAGTCTAAAAAGGGGCCATTCAGTGTTTTACTTTGGATTCTTAAATGCATCTTGCTAATTATACCACTGTACTTTTACTTCAGTAAATACTTTTTGTACCTCTGTTAAACTGTGAGCTTGTTCATAATCTTCAGTTTGCTTTAATAACATTGTAGAAGTGGTGTGATATTGAAAAGTATAGAGAGAAGACCTGTACTGGGTACCACGCTGTAGAGACCCTGATTCAGCAGCCTGTGGAACTGGGATGTTAAAGTTACAGTCATACAGTAAAAAAAATCTGCAAATGAAGCCAAACTTATTTTCTTTTCACGCCCAGATTTCCTCACTCTCGTTCTATCACTATTTCTCTATCTGTCCTCCTTTCCCTCCTGCTCCTTCATCCTCCCCTTTCTCTGCTGAGCAAACTTTGCTATACTTTCTCCATACTTTTCATTTTGTTTTCTTTACTCTCTCTCTCCATCTCTTCTTTTAGTCCTTCTCCTCTTTTTCTCTGCCCACTGCCCCCCTCCCTTCCTCTCACTCCTCCAGCGCCCCCTCATCCTCTCTCTGCCTCTCCCTCTCTTCTCGCTCTGATCTGAGTGCTGGCCTACTTTCAGACATGGCGAGAGGAGATGAGGCTTGTAGGCTAGACTCAGCTGCAGGGGAGGGGGAAAAAAAGCCTCTGCTTCATTTATAGTTACATGTGTGTGTATGGTGTGTGTTGGCTGTGTTAGTGGCCGTACAGTATGTATCTCGCTGCACATTAGTGACTGCCGTGTGTGTGTGTGTGTGTGTTTGTTTGCGTGCTGCTGGCGAGGGTTTATTTATTTATTTATTTATTTTTGGCAGACCGCCGTAATCGTAAGAGAAAAGCAGAAGGAAAAGAGAAGGGAACAGAGGCAGGCAGCATCTCTGGGTTTCTCTGTGTGCACTGTGCATGTCCGTGCGTGTGTGTGTGTGTATGTAAGGAAGGAGATGCAGAGTGGGTGCCGATGCGAGCCAGCTGTGGTGCAGTGCAGGGGCCCAGCCTGATGTAGCGTTCGGCTCCAGGCAAAGCTGCAGATTGAAGGCCATGGGGGCCGGCGTCAGCTCCAGCAACGTCACGGCTGCAGCCGCTGAAGTGGGTAGGTGGTAGTGGTGATGGTTGTGGTGTAGATTAAGGGACCTAAAAGGAAATTGGATTTTACAAATGACTCAAAATGTTCCAGAGCTGTGTGTTGTTTTGATGCAGTTATCTGACTGCACCTCCTCAGAGAGTGTGCAGGGCTGAGGGCAGGGAGGATGTCAGCTGGGAACTGGCGTATCAGTCTGTTGTGACCTGTATTCATCTTGTTGTATTTGATGGTTTGTATTTGCTGCAGCCCCTCCAGTTTTTTCAGTTCAATGAAGTTAAAGGAACAACAAGATGTTCTGGTAGATATGCCTGTTGTTTGCTGTCTTACCCAGTATGAGACATTGATCCATTTAATTTCTGTGTCCCATACAGAGATACAAAGTCCAGGATGTGTTTAGCCTAGTTTAGCAAATAAGCTGTATCCCAATTTCACACAATATGTAAATTCTAATAAAGTATAGCAGATCTTATGTACTGCATTGCAATATAAACAGGAAATTAAACAAGATATGTTTCAAAAGATGCCAGTCAAACTTTGGAACTCTTATATGGAGAAAGCAACATGTTTTTCCACAGATTTCATACTTTTTTGGGGCCTGTCTCGTCACTATCCACAATTTTTTTTTGTTGTTTCCTCAGCTGTTAGCTGTCAGTTAGCCCCTTATTTCCTTCGTGAATTGTATTGTTGGACAGTATTATGCAGCAACAGCAAGTGAATTAAGTATGCATACGGACATTTTTGAGTAGATTTCATTTTGTCAGTTTTACAGAGTGACTATGTGAACAGCCTGATTCCATGGTTTGCTTAGTGGATCACCAGCACAGTCTCACAGAAATGGATGAATTGCACGAGACCTTTTAACAATGAATTATGTGGATGTGGACACGAAATGTGTTAAAATTACATGTGAAGTGTCATTCCAAAGTGTATTACGAATGGTCGCAGTTTTGTTGTTTCCAGAACAAAAACATACTTGGCTAAGTGAAGGAAAAACTCTTGGTTTTGTTTAAAATCACTATGCATGAAACATAAGTGACATAAACTTGTGTACTTTTTGTTGTTTACATTACATATCTACATCAAGTACTTGTGTTGTGATAATTACATTACTTTTGGTTTCACACAAGACACCAACAGCAATCTCCTGGTTGAAAGTCCATGTTGGTTTGACCCATCCACCACCCCTTCCAACAACCCCATGCAGACTTTCTCGCTCTTAATATGTTAACCCTTTAAAGACAGACCTCATGCCTGACGGCTGCAGGAGATCATTGTTTGCATGATTCTGTTTAAATAGATCTTAAGTAAAAACCATAATATCTTGACCATTCATTCTTTTTGCAGCACAAAACAAAGGCTTCTGTCTCCCCCATCATCACATCATTACCCTACCTTCCATGCAGAATAAACGCAGTAATTACACTGGAATTTTCCCAGGAATTTCCCCGCAATGGCCACGGAAGATCATAGTTTGCACACTCCTGTATATATTGATCTAAAAGAAAAAACATAATAGCTAGAACATTTTTTGCAGCAGAAAGCTAAGGCTTCTGTCTTCTGTGTCATCACACTATATGATCACAATGATGTCACTGCTCTACAGTACATGCGCAGTGATGCCAGAGGAATGAACGATAAATCTATCACAACACCTCTGCACTCTGCTCATAAAAATGAGAGTATCTCAAAAACTAAATAATGTACATAGTTCAAACAACTTACGGAGTACTAAGATACATTTTCTTTATGTTACTACATTATACTATCTTATGGATCAGTGTTTTCTGTTTTATTTTGTAAAATCTAAACAAAAAAGGTCAAATTTAGTATTTTTTTGTGACACAATTTCAATACTTGTATCAATTATTATGGTCTATTGACTTACATAACCTTTTAGCTTAGGTTGTACAGATATTAGGGATATGAAACATTTGAAGATACTCCAGGAAATGACACCACAATAAGCAAATATACCAATGTGTGCACTGGCTGATCATTTCTATTGCAGAGTTTAAAGTGTTAAATCATGGGTCAGTCATGACAAAGGATCCTGATTGACTTTTCATGGGCATTGTTTCCATGTTGCCAACATGTGACATTTTGTGCCTACCACCATGTAATGTGTTGTTAACACTTTTTGTCCATTTCATGTATTTCTGTTAGAGCTGGATTAACATAGGTCAGCTATATCTGCTGGTTTGTGAAACAATGGACCAATCAATGCCTTGTAGCCAGGATGTACTCTTTTTTAAGATTATTTTTGTGGGCTTTTTGCCTTTAATGGATATGACAGTGTGTGAAATGGGGAGACAGAGAGACAGCGGGGACAGACATGCAGCAAAGAGTCACAGGCCGGACTTGAACCTGCGACCGCTGAAGCAAGGCAGTGCCTCTGTACATGGGGCACCAGCACTATCCACTACGCTACTGACACCCTGCCAGGATGTACTCTTCCTACATAGCTAGCTAGCTACATCCATGAAAAACAGTGACAGAAAAATTGCCATTAAATTGTCAACAAGCTATAAAGAGATCGGCACAGCTGGACAGTCAATTCACACAACTAACTTTTAGCTTGACATAGTTCTACAATCAACATGTGAAAATTAACTTACTCCTAAGGTGGTGTAGCCCAAAATTCTGAGTCTCATACATATGCAGTCTCAGTTGGCCCCCTTCCTCTTTTTATACATCCATTGTCATGCCAATACAAATAATTGAAACAACAATGGAGCACGTGCATCTACAGTGGCCAAGACCCAGTTGCTATTATTTACAGTAACTCTATCATTCCTGCTGCTTTCTTCCCTCTTTTCCTTTCTTGCTACTACTTTATTAATTTCACTTCAATCCAGTCCTGATTTACACATATTAAAAGTAGAAGCAGATAACATTTTAAGAATTGGTCCTCCTACTCAATTTTACTATTTCTCCCTCCATAAGTGTCCATCTCTTCCACTTAATTCTCAGTCATATCTTCCTTCTGCCTCTCCCCCTGTGGACATTCATTATCCTCACTAGTTTCTCCATCTTTTTCTTCCAGACCGTCCCAGTGCTGTGACCAACCTGACCCACCAGGCAAGGCCTGGGTCTGGGGCGGGGCTGGGCCGTGTGGAGTGGCTGGTACCTTTGGTGGTGGTTTCAGCTCTGACTTTCCTCTGCCTCGTTCTCCTGCTGGCTGTGCTCGTCTACTGGAGGTGGGTACAACAACACAGTCACTTTTCAACCACTTTTGAGTTGTTGATCTTGAGATTGGAGGGTGGATAGATAACTGGAGGGATGCAAATCTGATGATGCATCCATTTATGGTTGAGGATGGTAAGGAGAAAACTCATCATTGCCAAGCTTGGTACATTAAAGATACTGAGAAAGGAAAAACATGGACACCAGCAGTACAGTGAGCGAGGGTTTGACTGCTCACAAGTACCACAGTTTCATTGTAATGCTTTTATCATATCCACCTTATTTTTCACGGAAACACGGAGGCAAAACAGAACGCAGCCAGCTTCCGTTTTTTTGTGCGACACTTCCGGTCCAGCACTCTTGACCACTGTGTAAATGGGAATCGCCTTGTTGTTTACCTTGCTGAGTTTAGCTATATATATGTATATATATCACATTTTTCACGTCACGATATCACCGTTTAGACTAATCTGATGTTTGTAAAGTCTATAAACACAATGACTGAACAAACATTAGTATTTTCTCTGTGTGTAATTAATAACATGGTTATCGTAGATTAGCTGGGCTAACTGTTAGCTGTTAGCCGTTAGCCGTTAGCCATGTCTGTAATAACTCACTAAACTCACAAAGTGGCCCGTGAAAAAAATATTTTCTCCAGCGGATGTCTTAGTTACAACATGACTGAGCTAATTGGAGTAGTTTCATGTCGTATCCAACAACGGGAGGCTTTTAACGGATGACGATCCTGATGTTAGCTTTGCTGCTAGTGTTAACGTTAGCTGTCCCTGTCAGCTGCAGCCACTGATGCTTTCTAGACATTGTGATTTCCCAAAACTGAATAAATACCACACATAGCAACACAAAACTGCTTTGCTAGCTCAATCATGTTGTAACAGCTGGATGGTTGATGCGTATATGCTGATTCGGGTGCTATCAGAGCCGATCCACGCATCACTATGGCTGATCAACTCAGTCAATTAAAACAACCCGTCCTGTGTTAGGAGTGTATGTCGCTGACAGAAAGAAAGAAAGAAAAGGGAAAAAAAGATAGAAAAGCAGCGTACACCTCACATATTTATTTCTCACAAGTGCACACACGTGTGGCTGGCATGCAGAAGCACCGTCTGTGTGTCTGTGTGTCGAGGGTGCGAGCCGCAGCTTCAGCTGCTCAGGTAGAGAGGCTGTGTAGCCCGGTGTGTTTTTTCGCTGATTCGGTTCTGCAGGTTCTCTGCTGGTACACTGGAGACGGGGATCAAGCAGTTTGTCTCACTCGGGATAGATTGTGCTTTTTTGGTTCATAGTTTATGATTGACGTGCGATTTATTCGCGTTTAGAGGGAATAAATTTCCGTTATAACGGAAACGTGGGCACAGTTATCTAACGTTATACAAAACACACAGACTAACTAACTAACTAACTAACTGATTGACTAACATAAACAACTGAAAATTGAAAAAAAAAATTAGCTTGCATCGTTAGCTCCGGTAAGGGAAAGCATGAGGGAAAGCGGCTGACCGGAAGTCACACACAAAAAAACAGAAATTGATCACTATTTACTTCCGTGTTTGAAAATAAGGTGGATAGAGAGGTAAATGCTTGATGTTCACAGGATTGGGTTGCATCGTGTTCCAGCTCTGTCACAGTTTCCATTGCCATTATAGCTGATATGTGTGTTTACACAGAACATGTCATGCCTAGCAATGTTCCCCATTCCACTATCTTTAAGTGCCTGGTATATTTTTGCCAAAGCAGTTCACGTCCCCGAAGCATGAAATTCATGTGTGAATGTATATTCTGTAAATTTCTGTATTTGTTGGCAATTCACTGAAAGGGGACCAGTTATGCTTATTTTCAGGTTCATACTTGTATTTTGGATTTCTAGTAGAACATGTTTATGTGATTATGTGTTAAAAAAAACACTTTATTTAAGCTCCACTCTCGAAAAATCTGCACTCTCTGCGGCTCTGCATTTTCATTGCAGCCAGGGGAATGACTGTAATACAGTATAGCCTTACTTTCTACTGTAAAAAAGATGGCAAGAAAAGCTTGTTCTAGCAGGAATGTGATCAGAAATCTGGGAGAAACTAAGAACACTGGCAATCAAGATTACATGTTTCCCTACTGTTAGCATGTAGCTACATGTATGTGTAATGTAGAGACTTTCTGTAGTGTGCCTGGAGTAGATGGCCATATAAAGAAATCTGTCGTGAGCTGAGGTCAGCTTGTCTTGAAAGTAGGAAAAAAACATTGTAAATTGAGTATTTAGAACAGTCTCCCTGAAGTTTTTGCTCACAGAAATTGCTTCTACATACATTTACCTCATTGTTTGAATCTTTGGCCATGTTTAATATGAACATCCAGCGTTTAATTTGTTTCTGACCTTGTGTCCACACAGCAAAACTATCCTTTGGAGCTAGTGAGAGAGAAAGAGAAGGAGAAAAACAAGGGAGAGAGACTGCTTGTTAAACCTCTGCTCTGTCCCCTCCTGCTTGCTGGCATCAGTGACACTGTTTTGTAATGCAGCTGAATTCACAATAGACTTGGTGTTGTTCACATATTTTTCTGTTTGTGTTCTCAGTCAACAGAACAGCTACAACATCTGATAAATGATAGCAAAATAATAGATGCTACAGTAAAAGTGCTGCTAAAATAGCAAATTGTTCAAATGTTACTCTACTGACAGAAGTAGATAGCCTATCTATTAAACTTAAACTACCATAGGTATGTTTCAACTTCTCAAAAGGAGCAATGCAAGAATTAATGTTAAATGAGAAAACCCATGCAGATGCAGAAGCTTGTGGAGCAGAGGCCAGCTTGAAGAGAGGGCAGGACTGTCTTATGTTATCAGGGTATCAAATGTGGAGGTGGGCTCGTTGACTGTGTTGAAGCCATTTTCATTTTACATCATGCTGTCAACTGAAGGTTGTCCACACATGATGGACATCCTGTGCTTCTCCCAACTTTTCTGTCATATTACTTGGCGTTCGGAAAAATGTTTATATGCCTCCACGCAGGCGATAGCTGTGGCTGGAGACATTATGTCTACCTGTCCGTTCGCCCGTCTATGCCATTATCATAAATGTGTATTCAAGGAATGCCTTAAAGCCCAACTTGCAGGTTGGAGACCATGGTGAATAAATGTGTAGGAAAATGATGTAGAAACTCGATTAAAACAAAAAACAAAAACATATACACACTACAGTGACTTTTGGGTCATTTTTGTGAGAGAATTTTGCTTCGGCATCTAAAAACCCACGAACCTGAAGTGACGTAGCATAAGGGAGTCCGGCCGAGTTCGATTGAGTGTAACATTAATAAACATGGATCCCAGTACTAGTTTTGAGACTGAAGATGTTGAAAATGTACATTCATATGCATATGACGGCCCACATGCTTATAATTATGAGCCTGCTAGGCGTCCAAGAGACCAGGCACAGAAATAGAGCTGTGGTGTGAGGAGAACCAGTGGAGAACTGGGCAGGTGTCTTGGTGAGCGACCAGCGTCAGCTAACGACAGCCAACGATGTCTAACGCTGTGTTCACATCACAACATTAAGTTTGCCATCACATATTAGGTTATAACAAAGCTACCAATAGTTCTGCCAGTATTAGATATCTAATGCTACTTACCCATAACAGAAACTAATGCGCAAATATCAGCTTGTATCAGACGTATCTTGCTATGCGTGTTATAACTCCGCATTACGGTGTATTGACGTCCGCAGGGGAGAGAGAGAGAGAGAGAGAGAGAGAGAGAGAGAGAGAGAGATACAAAGATTTCCTGATAATTTTTTGTATGATAGGTGCTTGTGTGGGAACTGCCAGCCCATGTCCTCAACTGTGAGAGTATGTGCTGCAGGGAGGTGGATGCCTTCTGGGCTCTGGTGGAGAATCTGACCCCCATACCAGACATAACATGCCTCACACTGCCCATCAACCCTCACGCCGCCCGCTCCCGTCTCAAACACGGAGGCCTCCCTCTCCGCTGAGCCCGCATGCCCTCGCACATACCCCTGAGGCTCGGGGCCCCGCACAGGGGTATGTGCAGGGCTGCGAGCCTCGGGGGTATGTGCGAGGGTGGGCGGGCTCCGCCAGGAACATAATCCTCCTGTCTAAAATGAGCGCTGCACACGACCGTGTTTTTGGTCACAGATGAAGCCGTGAAATCGCGCCTCTTCACCTGCACAAAGCGCACCCAGGCACGAAAACTACCTCCACTCCTTTTTCTGTCCGGAAAACGGTGGACTCGATGTCCTGACAGACTCCAGTTTGTGCAACCCGCACAAGCACAATAATTCGGCATAATCACAAATGGTGAAATGCACTGTTAACAACCGAAAAAATACTAACTCACAAGTTTACTACCGCTCAGACTCACTACCACCTACTACTGCACATTGGACAGAGGCAGGGTCAAGGACGCAGAGTCCCTCTCATGACGTAGTATCAGGCGATGTTGAAAAAAAAAGCATTTTTAGAAGAGGAGCTAAAAAGAGCCACTTTTTCCTCTGAATTTGTGCCCTTATGTCATGTAAACCATAATAAATTCTGAATTAACTTCTCATATGGTAATTTTCAGACAAGGTTATGTATATATTTTTAAAAGAATTTAACCTGCAAGTTGCACTTTAAGGGGGTCCTTCAAATTTGGCACAAGTGGCCACTTGAACTCAACTTTAAAGAATTCCAATCATAATAAAAGTGGCAATAGGATAAAATTATAAAGTGATGACATTTTATATCCAAAACATCAAAAGTCAACTTCACTGTAACATCATAATGTTTTTGGACATGATTCAGTATCTTTTAATTCCATCTAAGTCTTCAGTATATGACTCTGGACAGACATGGATGTAAACTGCAACCTGACTGGTTGGCAGAGGCATACAATTGACCCTTCGCTAAGCCTCTCCCTTAATCAGTCACTGTCCAATTTTACGTTATCAACTGTGTTTAGCAACCGTGAGGTCCGTCAAGCTTTCAGCAGAAGCTAATATGTCAAAGCTGCGTGCAT